TCCCTTTACTAGCTGCAGGCTCTTGCACAAATTGTACCGATGAAGCACAGACTCTTGAAATTATTTTAAGTGTGTGTATCAAATTAATCAGGTAGCTAACACTTCAGAAGTGTTGGAAATGACACGTGATGAATTTAGAACAAGCTTTTAACCCTCAATTGTCTATTAATAAAATGTACATTGAGAGCAATGAGTTATGTTTACTAAGCATTCGTATTTATAACCTATTACATATTTTAAAAAATATATAAAAAGGATGTGCAACCCCTGATGTAAAGCGCTAAGCAATAAAAAGAAAAAGATTGACATTTCCTTCATATTGTAGTGTCACATAATAATGCTGCACATAACAAAACTGATTGGGTGCTGAGTACAGACAACACTAATATATTCTGCTCAGGTTACTGTAGGTGGGCTTTTCATATTGCTCTCTGCACTGCTGTAGATGTGTGAGGCTCCATTACAGAACTGTCTCTGTCTCAACGGAGCTGGATTACTGCAGACAATGAGTGGAGAACTGTCCTCTCGTCAATGTGGGGGCCGCAGTACTTGGCTCAGGCTCAGGCTCAGTGTGTCTGCCCACAGGTTGTACGAGGAGGACCCCGGGGAGGCTGTGCGGCTGTGTGAGGCTCTGCTGGAGGAGCCAGAACTGGATCCCGCTGTCCGCATCGGAGATGCATACGGGTTCCTGGTGGAGCACCACTGCCAGCAAGGCAGCTTCCAGGTGGTGAGTGGCTGGGTATCAGACTGGGGAGGGTAAACTGCAGAATCCTATCTCCTGTGACGTCAAGGATCGAAAACAAGGTATTATATTTCTGCCAGACATTCAGCTTTAATCCTTCCTTAATTTCTGAGTAATGTCAGTCTATGCATTAATCTTGGTTCATAATAATGGTTCATTACTACCATTGTTACACGAAAGCTGTACCTGGATGTGACTAAAGAAGACAGACATGCAGTATTCGTATACGGGTTTTTTCACCACTTGTCCAGCCATCGCTGCTTGGTAGGCTTCTGTACAAGTGTACAAGTCTGAAGAGTGAGGCCGGGCTGCTAAGTCAAAAGTATGACAGTGTTTTTTTAGTATTTTTTAATTCAGATTTCTTCCACCTCTTAAAGACTATTAAGACTATTAAAATGCTAGCTGACAACAGTCCTGCCCTCTCCTCTCCAGGCCTACCGCAAGCTGGAGGAGTTGCAGAAGCGGCTGCCCTCCGTCAACGTCAGCTACTACGTCAGTCAGCGCAGCCTGGAGGGCCTGCACCGTGCTGTGGGGCTCCCCCTGGTCCGGGGGGGTGTCCTGAACCAGGGGGCGCACGGAGACAGTGGGGGAGAGGAGGAGGAGGAGGTGGAGGAGGAGGAAACCCTTGAGTCCCAGCAGGGTGACTGAGGAGAGCCCGGCAGGGCAGAGGAGTGTTACTAGGACCCGAGGTAACGCCGCTGCATGGATTATCACAAGCAGTGCTGTATAGAGTTAGACTTCAGCTGGGCTTCTTACATATAGGGCAGCTCTGGGATCTGAGGCCAAGCTATTCACCACAGTATAGACTGCTGCAGAGCTGTGCACACCCAGTGCGAAGGACTGTATTGCACAACAGGGACTGCTTAAATAAAGAGGAATGAACTGGACTCAGCTGTGAAACTATAGGTGCATAAGCCATACTATTCATTAGAAAATACAAATTTCATCAGTTTAAAGTTGTTTTCTAATTGCTCCAATCTGCCCACTGTTTGACTGCAGTTATATTAGTTTTATGTCTGTGTTCTTCACACAGGATTGACAAGATCAGTTAGTAGAAGAGATTTACACTGTGTAGGTAGTGGGAAGAGCCATATCTCTTGAAGTCCCACAACAGATTGTGAGTGCTACTTTGGGTTTCCCATCTGCAATTTGGATCAATCCACAGTTGTGAATTTTCAGTTCATATTGTCCAGTAAAATATAAAATAAGACAGTTTAATGTAAATGTTTATGAGTCAGTCCACATGTTGAGATACAGCTGTAAACTGTAAAAGTTAAATAGGAAGCTTAGCTCAAGTAGTTAAAGGGCTTTTGGTTAACATACCTATACCCAGAAACCCAAAGTAAATGTCTCACAAGGTTAGACTTTCTGTACTGTATGTGCCAATGTGGTTGAACAGCTGCCTTAAGCTAAAAGAGAACCATGAATCTCTTGTCAGTCTTCATGGAAGCTCTATTTACCTCTGAATCTACTCCAGTTAGTGCTAAAACAAGGGGATTGCTAATTAATGCCTAATGCCATGGCTACTACGTTATGTGGCTCTGATTAAAACTGACTCTTAGGTCTAACTTGTTCTGTTCCCGAGCCAACCAGCCAATTGCAAATTCCAAAAGTGCTACCATTAGGTGAAAGTGAGATGTGTATTGGCAACAACATGCTTGAATTTGCAAAGTCCAAGAGCTGTTCCTTAGGTGTCCAATCCAGCCAAGAATGTAAAACAACATCTCAGGGAAAACATGCCTGTTCCAACTTTGACACCACATTACTGCTGGTGCAGATGAACCTCTGTATATATATTTTATGATTACACACATATGAAGCTTCATACAGTTGTGAAGACTTACTAAATAATTTAATATGGTGGCATCTGGACTTCCGTGGGATTTTTATATATTCTATATCTCACTGCTTCATAAGACAATTGGACGTGTAGCAGAATAATTTAGTTTTGTATACTTTTGTAAAATATGAAATATGAATGTTAAAAAAAATGTCAGTAATAAATTTTTAATTTTGCCTTTGAGGATCTGTGACCATCTGTATGTTTTCTGTTTCCTATGCATTTTCAAGACCTCTCTCACACCACTTACGCTCACAGCCAATAGTGATCTGAAAGGAAACTGTAGAAAACAGCACCACATCCAGACATTTTTGTGTAAGGTATAAGAGCCTAGGCATTGTTTGAAAGTGCTTGTATTTAATTTACTTCTGTTTGTACAAAGCCAGCTGTTCATGGAGCCTGTTTAGTTGCTGCTGTTTTCTCCTGCCACATAGCTGGCATGACTATAATCCTGGCAATAATAATACTGATTTCTTTACTGTTGCCATCTTGAACATTTTTCAGAACTATTCATTTCAGTTCAGTTTTATTTGTATAGCGCTTTTTACATTTCATCTTATGCTTTCATAAAATAGAACAATATGACATTACAAACGGCACAGTCCTTGCAACACGTTTCATGCGATTTCCCAGTTAGGTATGAAATCATATCAATGCTACATGAAGCGGTGATTGATTAAAAAAAATAATTCAATCTTTCCGATTAAAACCACTGGGAAAATCCTACACATTCATTTGGAAAACAAAAAGTTTATTTTCGGATAAGGAGGTTGCAAGGAGGAGGGGCAGTTTACATCATTTCCACTGATAACACCTGCACCCACCGAAGTAAAGAGCAGATCCTCAAGCACAGGAAAGAACATAAAGGTTTTAAAAAAAGAAGTCCCCTTCCTTGTGTAATTCCAAAGGTATTTTTGGCCCATCCTCCAAGTTGCCAAGTCTATAAATATTTCACCCAGTGTGTTGAGTGCATGTTAATGTCCCGGCGATGGCATCCCACCTCCTTCCCCTGGCTGGACACACTGTACCGGATGCAACAGCCTGCGTGCTGCCTGGCAGGTCCTCAAGGCTCCTGTCCTGCCCCGCCAGCAGACTCCCCGGACACTCAGGGCCGCAGGGCCAGGGGCTCGGGCTCCAGCTCTTTCTTAAGGCTCCTCTCCAGCAGCAGCAGGCTCTGCATCGCCAGGCTGCGGCACTCGTCATCGGGGTCCCCCTCGGCCACATCTGCTCAGGATGGCAGGGGGAGAGGGGAGTGAGAGGCAGGGGGAACTAGATCGAAGGGGTAAAGCACTGACACGAGGAGCGACAGGGAGGCAAGAGTGTGAAACGGGCAGGTGAACTGGGCCTTGTACACAGGGGGAGAAGGGGCCTGACAGAAGGGGGAAAAGGCTCATTTAGGGGGCTGTCAGAATAGCAAGAGGTTAATAAAAGTGCCTTTGGAGGAGGATCGGTGTGGAAAGACTTCAAAGATAAGTACAGGAATATTAAGTGCATTATGAGACAAATCCCAAAGGCGCACATACTGTATCAGTACTATATAGTAATCCTACAAAGGAGATTATCACTGGACCAACATTATCGAGGGAAAATTCCCACTTATCTCCAGCTTCGGTTCTGAAACGTATTCAGAGAATTGCCAACTTTATTTTACTTTGGGTACTTATAAGATCACAGTCGGTGTAACCACAACTGCAGAGAACTACAACCAGCTCCTCTCCTGTGAGCCGGAAACTGCAACTAGAGTGAGTCTGCCTGCTAATGAGTTCAATGGAAAAGGGGTCCGGGGGGCTGTGCTTCAATATGAGAGGGGAAAACAACACTGTGCTGCCACAAGGAGCAGCACACAATCACAGGGCAGAGGATATCCTGAAATCTCCTCGGCTCCCGTTCGCCATTTCCCAGCAGTGTCTTGTCTCTCCAGCTGCAACATCCCTTTTCCCAAATTGCTCTTCCAGCTACACTGAATCATCACAGCGACGCACTTCCCACTGGGGAGAAAGACATCTGATGGGTGCCTTGCAACTATACACGTCCAGGGCGAGATTCAGAATTCTGCTAGGTCTGTTTGATTTTTATTTCAAGTATAAATGTGCACCTGACTCCAGACTTAAAGATTCAACAGCAAGGCCGGTTATTTTTCATTCCCAACCAAATAAGTACAAAAAGTTGATCTGCTTAACATTTTGGAAGAAGTGCAAAACGTTCAGGCTCGTTATTATCAAGAGCAAAGAGGCCACGACTCTCAAAATGTACATTTATCTAACCATTTCTTCAAATAAAACCAGGCTGAGCTTGAAGTAGTAATTGCTCAGCCCTGTCTTGCTATAATGAACATATATATATATACTGTATTTACTGAAGATTTTTTAAAACCTCAACAATTAATACACTGCTTCTAAATTCCCAGGGGCTGGGATGAAAGAATAGCCTGGGTTCTCTGCAGCTCCTCTGGGAGCTGTTTTAACATCTTCACTCAGTGCCCAGGAAGACATTGCAATCCTGGGCAATCCAGTGCCCTGCAGACCCTACAATCCCTTGGCTACGATACAGAGTCTGTACTGTCTCCTACCCCTTCCTGTAGTACTACACGAGACGCTGCGACCCAGAAAGACTGCAGACAGGATGATCACAAATTAAAACAAAGGTGCATTTCCTCATTCCATATGGATCAATACCGGATCTTTAGGAATTCATCCACTGAAGCATGACGTAAGTACAGGAGACACTGAAACCTGCGCTGCCTCACACACACTGACCTGTTTGTCCCTCTGCACTGCTGCATTTCTCTGCACAGGTGCACTGTTTCTTGTACGTGCTTGCCTATTGATGACAATTTTGTTTCTTTTCTGTATACACAATACACTGCTTACTGGGGACACCGTCAGCTGCTTTGGACAATGCATACATAACGATCAGGCAAACGCTTGGCCAGGGATGCACATGTGCACACAGACCTGTCAGCCAGGCCCGCGTCTCCAGGAGGTGCTCGCTCAGCTCCGCCAGCAGGTGCTGACTGGGCATGCTCAGAAACACAGCGCAGACGGCAAAGAGGACCCCTCGCCGGACCACCCTGAGAGGAGAGGGAGAGGGCCAGAGGGGCAGAATGAGACGCATGGAGAGATACAGCACGTCTTGGAAACAGGAAGCGCCCGGGGCCAACCACAGCTCGCAGCCTGTGCTCCCAAACGTGCCCTCGGAAGACACGCCGTCACTCCTCAAGACCGATTTTAAATGAAACCCGCTGAAACAAGGCCAGCGGTCATAACAGACGCCAAACAGCGGTATCAAGAGAATCCGACCTTAGAAATAGCAAGCACTGCTCTTCAATCCTGCATCTCAAACGATAAGCGCGCTAATGGGAATAAAAAGTAAATATTTCACAATGCATGCAGAGACCTGGACACTTAGAGCTCCCCAGAGGGGGAAGACAGAGCCTCTAAATCATGAATTCCCAAATCAAGAGCACTGCAGCAAGAACATTAATAATAATAATAATAATAATTGCTTACACTTATATAGCACTTTTCTGGACACTCCACTCAAAGCACTTTACAGGTAATGGGAATCCCCTCCACCACCACCAATGTGCAGCATCCATTAGCAGGCACTAACGAAGAGCTCTGCTGTGCCCTGTCCATTCCCCTTGCAGGCCTAGCCCAGCACAGGCCGATGTCGCAGTACTTACTGGTCCACATGGTACCGCACGGCCCACACGAAGTCCAGCAGTGCCCGGCCCATCTGCGTGGCCACCTGGAGGTGAGGAAACAGGCAGTGAAATTCTGAAGGATGCTCTGGAACGGTATAAAATCCCTCAGGAGGTATCCTCAAACATCCTGCGTCACACGGTTAAAGAGACCACCCAGTGTTCTTTTAAAAGAAAGGCCTGAAAATCCTTTAGAAGTGTTAAAAATACAATGTGTCTATCTTTTCCTTTTACTAGATTTTTTAAAATAGTTTCAACTTTCTTATGAAGGTTCTCTGGTTTGTCTAGCTTGGTTTTTACTGTGAACCCACACAGGCAATTTTATAAGACCTCAGAAAGCTGAACGTAGGAAGAAAAGCCTCTCAGTCACGCATATTCCTTGTTACTGGAGTCCCCTGAGAACCAATAAGGAAAGCAGTACTTAGGGAGGCTGGGAATTAATCAGCAAAGAGCAGCAGACGCATCTGAGCTGACCCACGCAGGGAAGAAAAGTTATCTTAGGCATGAGTCTACAGGAAACGTCTGCACGTGGGGTTTCGGCAGTTTTGGGGGTACCGGAGCGTTGGCCGCCAGGTGCATGAGCAGCCCCAGAGTGTGAACCAGGCGTCCCAGGAGCAGGTGGTCACTTCCCAGGAGGTCAAAGGTCACTTGCGGCCTGAACAGAGAGAAGAGGATTGTTACAACACTGAAACCTAATCCTCATCTGTTCTTGGTTTAAGTGGGTTTCTTTTCCAGGCTGGGCTTTCCCACTGTGGACCCTTGTAATTTCCTAATTATGAAATCAATTATATAATTCTAACAAATTTAGTTGATATTGAACACACTGAAGCAGTATTTCAGTGACAATGGGACAAATATCACCTGATCACCTCTGTCAGGCCCTGCGTGGTGCACAAATATCAAGGAACAAAGAGTTGGGCTTTCAGGGATCTGTATAATTTGGACTGGGACTTCAGCTCAGAGGCACCTCCTAGCTGAGTGCACAATTGCGTGGCACCAGATTAGAGAGAGATCTTTATCTGGTTACTTCTGCTGCTGTTTCAGAACAAAAAGGAGAAAATAAACAACGAAGGTGGGTTCCTCGTGTCTCCACTGGTTTCTCAGGACTGTCTGCTTTATATAATTTTTGTTCTTTTACACAAAGTGACACATTGCAAGCTCTGTGGACACATGCAGAAAGCACGACAGCGGGACTCATCCCGCACTGTGCGCCACTCATTTGAACACTGGGTACGATTTGGCCACAGTAGAATAATGTTAACACGCCAGCAGTGTGCTTTCTAAGAAGCAAAGTAGGAATCTTTTGTCATTCTCGCCATTAACAAGCAATGAAATTAGACAATATTCCAGCTGCGTCTGGTTGTGATCCAGCCTCCAAAGTGGGGACCGACTTTCAGGCCCCTGTCAAATCCTCCCGGAAAAAGCCTGTAGCCCAGGAGCTCCCCCTCTCCTACCTGTCGTAGTTGCGCAGCAGAGGGAAGAAGAAGTGTCCAGCGACCGGGGCGAAGCGGCTCGGGGGGGCACTGCCAGCCGGCCGGCGGGCACCCTGCCAGTCCAGAGGAAAGCACAGACACTGAGAACAGCAAAGCCCAGCCAGAAAATGCCCAGCTGAAGTGGGTTTTCCTGTACCCAGGTGGTCTCAAATCATTTCAGAGGAGACCCAGCATGTCTCCCAGTGTCCTCCAGTGCCCCTGCTCCCTTTCGGTAGCAGAACACACTGCTGCACAGGTGCGTAACATCCTTGCTTAGCTTGCAACACAATGCACTAATTAAGTGTTACAATTCTTGCAACTCCAGTGCAGATTTTCAGACTCGGCTTTTTACACGCGTCTGCCATG